ATGATGCCAAGCACATACTTATTGAGTTTGAAGTTGGAGAGTTTGTTTTTATCAAAATTATTAATTTGAATGGTTTGCAAAGATTTGGAAATACGAAAAAATTTGAGCCCCGTATATATAAGTTAATATGAGATTTTGGAGAGATGAAAATTTCACTTACAGATTGGCTTTACTAGCTCATATGCAGGGACTACATCTTGTTTTCCATATTTCTTCTTTTAGGAAGTAGATTATAGATAAATTAAATAGATTGATAGCGGACTAAATTGATAAACAACCTGACATAATTTATATTGAAGAGTCTGAAATGATACTGAATTTTTTATTTGAAGAAGATTCGTAATAGAGAAATTCCATTTATAAAAATTATTTAGAGACATGGCTCAGAAAATGCTACATGGGAGAAAGTTTTAGATACACAAGAAAGATATGTCCAACCCTTCAGTTAAGGTATGTTTGCTTTTATATTATTCTTTTCAAATTTCGAGGACGAACTGAACTTTTAATTAGAAAAATCAAATCGGCGGGATTGAATAACCATCTCGATAGTTTCACTTAAGGAAACTCGCTCGTTTTGGAGTTACAAAAGAGTCAACATAGCGAGAGAGAGAGAGAGAGATCAAGTGCGGGAGATTGTGAGAAGAAAGAGCTTTGAGCGTGCCCTAGTCGATTCGTAGAAGAGAAATAAGAAGAATGAGAAGGAAGGGAAGAAGTCATCACTTACGGGTGTGGGAGGCTTTTGATTATTGCATCGTGAAAGGAGGAGATCCTAGTCGAGGGAAGAAGAGAACTGGGGCTTCGAGGAGGAGCCTCACATTCGACATCACTATCGTGTCGAGCTTAGTAGAGGAGGTCATAGGAGGAGGCGAGGGAGATTTAGGGTTGCAAGAGGAGCTCGTGCCCTAGTGTGTCGGAAGAAATCGTCATGTGAAAGAAGAAAGATGAAGTAAGGGGAAGAAGGTGCCCAACTCTGTCAAAAAGAGGTGAAGTAAACCAAGCGCTCAAAGGAAGAAGTATAAGGAGGTATGTGAGCATGTGGGTTAGGGCAGTCGACCAAGACTTATTAAAGATGATTAAAATTTTAATTAAGTTATTTAATAAACTTTATATAAAAATATATATTGAGTGTGTGTTTATTTAATTAATGTTGATAGAAAGTTTGATTAAATCATAACTCAAGATTAGAATTTGAGCTTGGAGGGAGAAGAAGTAGGTGAAGTGTGCAAGCTAAGGGAGAAGGGAGGTCGACCCGAGCAAATTTTGGTAAGGTAAGAGTTTGGGTATTTTATTTATATAAAAAGGTTTTGTTTAATTAATTAATTTGCTATTAAGTATTCATTAAAGTAATGATTTAAATTAATGATTAAAGGTGCAATGAGTGTTAAATGAAAAATAAGAAAATGATAATTCAAATGAAAAAAAATGACATTCAAACTTAAGGCGAGTAATTACTTTCTTGTATGTATTGAATTGATATTTTATTAAATAAAGACTTACATTATTCCTTTAGATACCAGTTTTTATAGCTATATGCATGTTGTAAGCTAAAAAAATCATTGGAATGAATGAAATAAAATGATAAAAAAGGAAAATGATTGTTCAATGACTTTAAGAGGAGGTAATTAATGAAAATAAAATGTAAAGAGTTCAGCCATTCAGGATTACCCCCAGACGGTACTGACAAATGATGTGATATACCCGTGCATAAAAAACGAAATTGAAAATAATAAATGTGTATTTTCGGAGGAAAAATTCATGGGTATCTATAGGCACAAATTTTTAATGGTACTTACAGGTATGAATTTTTTAGGATAATTATAGGCATAATTTTGAGAATATCTTTTAGTATGACGGTAATTCTGCTATGACTTCTAAAAGAGGTTAAAAATGATAAATACTTAAATTAAAATGAGAAGAGTTCAATTAACTTTTTAAAAGCTTACTGTTTGATATATCAATAAATTGTATTTTTGTTGGACATTCATGTATAGTTTTTGTATATTCATTAAATACATGAGTGTAATTGCTCACTAAATTGTGTATATTGTATTTTAGATTGATATGACTTACAAACAAGAAATGATTTGCAAAAGGATTACTGCTGATAGTTAGTATATTGTATTTTATGATTATAGTTTTTGTAGTGTTTACTTTGAAGTATTGATATATTGTTGTGTGTTGATTTATGATGTTTTAACTGCAAATTATATTGTTGTTTCTAAATGATTTGATGTTTTTTGTAGTATACTTTGTGATTATTTAGTGACTCTTTTTATAAATTAGAAGTTACGATAATCTAAAGAAAGAAAATGAAATGTTCTTTAAACCATCGGGCTGTCTATTATTGTCTTGATTAATTCCAAATTTCGGGTTGGGTCGTGACATCGACATACTTGATGGTAACTTTTTTTATAATGATTATTTGGAATGAAATTTTATAGAGTAATAGGATCTTAAACAATTGAAGAAGAAATATTTTAGTAGTTGTATTTAGGAAGAAAAATGTTTATAACTGTCGTAAGTATAGGAGAATCAAATCTAATGTTATGCAATGGAGCTATTGGAGAGTGCAATGAAACATAGGATTAGAAAAATCAAGTTAACAGCAAAGATTCAATTTGGTTTTGCTAGGATCATCCAGTTTAAAGGCATTTTTTGTGCTAAAGCTTTTTAATGCATTGTCAGCTTTTCAGTGACTAATAAGTTTCCAATTTTATTACATGATGATCAAAATTAAGTTCTTATTTTTTTTAATAATGATTTTAAGGATGCTTAGAAATAATATTTAAAATGATATATTTTTATTGTATGCTATTTATAAATAATAGTTTGAAGTAGTGGACCTTTTCTAAAGTGAGTGAAAAATTAAATTATGAGAACATTTAGAAGACAATGTTCCTGGGATGAATATATGACGTGTTATTATAATGAGTATGAAAGTTATAATTGTGAATCAATATTTCTTGAATTCCAATTGATACTCAGTCAATACGGCTTTAAGTATCTTAAATTTAGTATAGATCATAGAGAATAGTAGAACTACAAATCATGATATAACCTGTAAAGTTAAGAAGTGGATAAAATGAAAAGAAATGTTTTTAGAGTAATTTCTATAAGATTAATATAATAGAGTTTTGAAAGTAAATTTTATAAATTTTTAATTACGATAGCTATGCTATATGAATCCGAGTTTTGGATAGCGAGAAAGTAAAAGGCAAATTAAGAGTGGTATAAACGAGAATGTGAAGGTGTATGTGTGGCAAAATTAGAAAAAATATATTAACAAATGATTAGTTTGAAAAGCAATGAGTAGTATCAATTGAAGATAAAATTTGTTGAAAATTAATGTATATTCACTAAAGGGAGAAGGTAAATTTTATAAAAAAATTAACTTCAATTATTGGGCTGTATGATTATGAGTGTAGGATAATAAAGAAGCGAAAGACAAATTTAAGTGTTATCGAAATGAGAATGATAAGGTTGATGTGTGGCAAAACTAGTAAATTAAAAACGATTAGATTAAAAAAACAATAAGAATAGAATCAATTAAATATAAATTTAGATGCTTTAGTTATGTGCAACAAAAGGTGGAAGATACGTGGTCAATTTTGTAATTATATTTTTTAATAAGAGTTTTATGTATTATTAATAATTATTTAAATATTAATTGCAATAAAAAGATTTTTGCGCTTCTTCTTTCCTTATCAGTGGATACTCTCCATTCTTTTAATCTGCTTGTCCTCTCTTTTTGATATTTTTTTTATTCTGAGCTAGCACAATATTATGATATAGTATTTTTTCCCCTCTTAGATCAATGAAAGCCAGTTTCAAGAGAATGAATAAGATCAAGGTTATTTACAATATTTGATCATAAACAAATTACTATCAAACCATCTTGCTCAATCATTTTCACTATAGCATTCTTTATTCTATATCTATTTAACTTTCTTTTGTCACTCCACAACATCTTATGACCCAAGATATTACATGATAGTCACCCAATTCTCTGATATTTAATCATTTGTCTTTTCAAGGTTTATATGTATAATATAAGGTGAAATTTTATTGTTATATTTTATTATCAAGTGAATATTTACAAAAATTACATCCATTTTAAATCTCGCTGGACTGAAATGGAGTAAAGCTAAATTGAATTTACGATTTGGAGGTGTCTTTTGGTTTACAATTAAGAAGTCTGATTCATTCTAATACTTTAAGTCAATAACAGAAAACAATTTTACAAGAAGATTTTAAACTTTGTTTTACAGATTGAAAAACAATGGATATATCGGTGACAACCCTTTGCTGCATTGGTCCAAAAACAAGGTGGTGTGCAAAATAGATGTTATAAATCCTGATATAACCATCCAAGACTCCGTCTGGGATCACTTTTTTTTTTTTTTTTTTATGTTTGATTCGAATTAAAATATATTTGATTGTGACAGTTGTTTTTAAAAATGCTCAAAATATTGTATTTTGAGTATTTTTAAAAACAAGATGATTTGTTTTTAAAAACAAAAATAAAAGTATATAAAAATTATACTAACCAAACATGTTCTCAAAAATAAAAATAAAAATGAAAACAAAAATAAAAATAGAAATGAAAACAATAATAAAAAAAAATGATGCCAGACGGGGCTTTAGGCATTTCCATTTCTTAAATATTGCTGATGAAATCCTAACATCCCCTTAAAGCTCTAGATTGCATTAAAAAGATTTTTTTTTTTTAGCTAAACAAATTTGCTATCGTTCATCTCTCCAAATCTTATTAAGCATTTCATCTCGACATAACATCCTCCGTTGGGAATCCATTTTATCTCATTTCAGTAGGGATCAACTTGTCATATTATCGCTAATTACATGCATACTATTATTGCGGAATACACTGAAATATTTTTAACAGATTGTCTGTATGTCAAATACGTGCACCAAAAGTTTGGAAACTATTTATGTATTAATGAAGTTCAGATTTAGAGTTTTTAGCTTCTCAACATTTGCAGGAAATATCAAAGTTCAGATACGAGCTATGCCCACGCTACATGAAAGAGAGAAAGTTTTGGCGCATATATTTTATTCTTGTGAGCAATCATGTTGCCCCGTAAGTTTCTTCTTGCGTTTTATATAGCCTAAAAAGATGCTGACATAAAGGACATGCAGCAATATTAGGGTTTATTTAGTTTAGTGGTATCATATGTAGGATTATCATTTTTTCTAGTAGTTAATTTTTGTTATTCTGATTTAGCTTGTTGTTTTATGCTCAGATACGAAAAGCGATATATGGAGGAGTTAAGTGTGAAAGCCTCTGAACAATCGCAACAGAGCAACCAGGCTAAAGATGGCTCAAATACCACTCCGGCTCTCAAGGAAGAGCTGAAAGAATCAAAGTTGCAAAGCAAGCCTTCAACTTCCTCCACTGCAGAGCAGGACTTGGATGTATTCCTTTTGGGAGACCTTGGAAGTAGTGACGAAGGACCTGGTACTCACCACCCCATTCTTATGTATTTACATATCTTTTACTTTTAAATTTGTGCTGCCCAAATCTTTCAAATCACATAAAAAATACCACTATTTTAACTTCGAAAAAAATGAAATAAACCTTTTCATGCATAGATAAAGGCGAATTGTATGTGAAAATTAAAGTTTAAGTTTTAGATATGTACATATATAGGAATTAAGTGGTATCTATGTAAATCTTCCAACATTTTATTCTTGTGTTAGTTCTCCTTGTTCTACTTTCATTCAGTAAATTAAGAATGAAGATATTCATCTGCTTTAACATTTTTTTCTGAGGCATGCTTTTAGAAATAGCAGACTTTTTGGGACTAAGTGTCTATATTACCTGATGCCGCAAATCTAATTGAAAAGTTAAACTGTGTAATTCGTTTCCAGATGATCGTGATGATGCTTTGGATGATGACTTTGATAAGCTTGGTGGCACCTCGGTAAGCGCATATCTTCACAACACTTCGGGCATGTTTGGGTTCACTTTTGTTTTTCATTTCTTTCTTTTATTTTAACAATAAGTTTGTTTAGTTTATCTTTTGCTTGTTTTTATTTTTATTTTTTCAAAAATAAATCATCTTGTTTTTAAAAAGACTCGAAACATCTAAAAGTCATTTTGAGTGTTTTAAAAAGACAACTAAATTTGTTATAACAATATATATATATATATATATATATATATGATAGAATAAAAACAAAAAAATAAAAAAATGATCGCAAGCGGTTTCTTGGTAAATCTATTCAAAATATAGTTTTTAATTTCAATTGATCTTGTCCCGGTGTCATCATCCTCTTAAGATTCAAAATTAATCGCACATGCAAATCTTAAAAGAGTTATGCCATGTAATTGAAACCTGTTTTCAAGATACTTTGACCCCATTGTCTAAAATTTTTCTTCAATTGTGCGAAATATCATGTTGCTTTTCATCATAATAAATTATAGCGAATGTTTTCAAAAGAACTTCACCTGTTTGTGAAGTCTGATCTTGCCATCAGAAAAGTTAAAGCATGAGAGGATTTTGTAACTGCTATTTGGCAGGGTTTGGAGAGCGAGGATGACGATGAAACCAAATCGAAGCAACCCAACTAAACAGCTAAATGGTCAACTCCCATGGATCGAATAGGAACCGTGCTTCCATGATTTTAAGCCGGCAGAGCTTGCCCAATTTTAGCTGCTGCTGTCATGAAGTTTTTGGGCTGTCAGTCTAGATGCCTTTCACTTATTATTAATCCTATGGTAAATCTGTGATCATCTCTCCTCGCGTATTTTAAATCTCTGTGATTAGGCTAATTCTGCTCTGTTAAAAAAACGGTAAGCTGTATGTGTTTTTATTTCTATAATATATTCTGGGAATAAATTCAATACCATTCTTTTCAGGCAAAAAATATGCATTTCATCATTTATATCTTTTTCTACTTATATTTTAATTGCCAACCCCACATAGTGGGATTAAGGCTTTGTTGTTGTGGTTGTCTACTTATATTTTAATTCCTTCTAATTTTAGTGTTTCGAGATAAAATACGCTACATGTTTTGTTTTTTTAAGTTTCTTGATTTTAGAGAACCTTACAAACTTTGAGACAATTATGCATGAAGTGTTCCTTGTGACAGTTGATACAGCCTCCATATAGTTTGTAATTGAATTGCTATATGGATTCATTGTCTATTTTTATCTTATTCATTTATCTTACATGTAAACATCAATTGGTTGAATGTTTTAGTGATGTTTGAATTTGATTGTGATTTGTCAATATTAGTCACTTGAACTCATAACATGATACAAAAAAAAATCTGGCCATCATCAAAATAAGTTACTTCTCTATGAAGCACTAGTCGGATCTTAGGGTCTGTTTGGGGCAGCTGCAGCTTATCCAACTTTTGCTGATAAGCAGTTTATCCTGATAATTTGCTGATGAGCAGCTGATCCGGATAAGCTATTTGGCTGTTTGGTTGACGCTTATGAAATACAGCTGATTCTGGAAAATTGATCATTCTGCCCCTATTTTGAATAAGCAGTTTAACTATTTGGTTAGTGCGTTTTGTAAACAGCTTATTTGGTTGGTAGTTAGTCTTTTCGATCGATTGGGTACCGAAGGGCTTGTTATTTAATTTCAATATGTTTAAGGTCGATCAAATCATTGAGGTGGCATCAATAAAAAATATTTGAGTAAATTCTCCTCCACTCATTGTTAAGTTCATTGCTTGAATCTAAATGATCGCATCCTTTAAGTTAGCTAACATTTTCATAAATATTGAACAAAATTAATCAAAAGTGTTAGAAGTTATCAGCTTGTGTGCCAGAACTTTTGCCTCCATGATGAGAGCCAATGCCTACAAGTATGTGGCCATAGAGCCTTTGCACATGGCATTAATCATTTTTGCTCATTCCTGACATCCTAAGGGTGACCATCTCAAGTACAAAATAATAGCCTTGTTACACCTATTTGACAAACTAATCATAGCTTTCATGCTTGGAGAATATACTATTTATTGTTCACATACAACTAGGATGAGCCTACCATGTCATCAACCCTAGCTTCTCTTGTGCGTATAAATAACTAATCTTTATGCAATTGACTCAAGAAATCATGCCCTACAATTCTATCAGTTCTCTTCACAAAGAAATAATAAGTCTAAAATATAATGATTATAATATCTTCCCTAAACTGTGAATCTTTTTTTTTACTATTCCTTATAATGAATATATGTGACATCTTCAAGCCACTTATGTAATTATGTTCTTTTCCCCTTTTTTGTGTTATCCATTATTCTTTCTAACCTTGGACTAACCTCCTATCTAAACTAGTTAAATAAGTCAACCAATCTGGTTGACTTATTTAACTAGTTTACATCTTGATAGGAGGTTAGTCCAAGGTTAGAAAGAATAATGTTTCTTGTAAATTATTAGCCCACACTCATTTGACAGTGTTGTTGTATTTTTATAATATGTTCATATTATTAAGTTTTATTTTTTAAATTTTGCATTCACTTGTAGGTATTGATACATTTTTCAACACTCTAATTACTACATTTTTTTCTCTTACAATCAACATTCTCTTAGGTGGCTTTATTCTATAACACTTTATTTTCTATAATTGTTCTTTAACATTTGTAGATCATATAATTTTTTAGTGCATCAATAATATACTATTTGCTTTGCACTTTAGTTCTATTTACTATAATTTTTATTGTGCAATGCAATTTCAACTCTCCTAAGTGTGGGTTAGGGCCAAAATTTATCTCATATTGAGTTAGAGCATATAAACATTATTTGAATGGCTTTAGCATTGACTCAAGACCTTCTCTTTTTCCATCAATAATGATTTGGTACATGTTTATTAGTTGTAAATCTCCAACCAATATTTGAAGATAGTCACTAAGCCATATGAATTAAAATGATCTCTACATCCATCCCCATTTATGTCTCTTAAATTTCCAACCACAATTAGGGCTGTCAAAACGGTTCGTTGTTTGTGAACAACTCGTGTTCGGCTCGTTAAGAAGCTTGTGTTCGGCTTTAACAAATATTTGTTCGTTTGTGTTCTGCTCGTTTTGGCTCGAAATACTACTAATCAATTATGTAGTATTTTTAAAAAAATTAATTGACTACAAGGCTATAAAGATTTATAATCAATTAAAAGTATTAATTAAGAAAATAAAATAAAAATTATTAAATTAGATTTAAATGATGTTTTAAATCTTGCTCCAATTTTTAACATTTTATGGCTACGTGATTAGGGTTGTTAAAACGACTCTCTGTTAGTGAACGACTCATGTTTGGCTAGCTAAGCAAACGAGCTGAACACGAACACACTTTTTAGGCTCAAAATATAAACGAGTCGAACACGAGCGACGCGAGCAGAGCCTGGGCTCGCTCGTGTTCAACTCATTTACACCCCTAACTACAATCACCTACACTTCCCTTCTTTTTCATTTTTGGCACACATTTTTAAACATAAACATATAAATACTAACAATTTTGACATTTTAAATATCACAAGATACTACAAAAATTAACACCGTAAATTATGGGAGAAATAGATTTGCATATATCGATGATAATAATTAACAAAACTATTTATATGTATTATACAAAATAATATTTCTAGCATTTCTAATTCTATAACAAATTTATCAGGTTTAACATACGTGCTAAAATACAAAAAAATATTGTACAATACAAAATATCTCACAAATAATTAATATTTAATATCAATTTGTCCAGCACTATCTAAAAATATTGTATTGAATAATTCTAAATTTAATGACATATAAGTTACTTGTAGGGGTGTAAAGGGGGATAAGGGAGCCACAGGCTCGCTCGTGTTCGGCTCGTTTATATTTTGAGCTCAAAAAGTGTGTTCGTAACAAATGAGCCGAACACGAGCAGCTCACAAATAAAGAGTCATTTTGACAACGTAGCCATCAGATGTTAAGGATTGGGGTAAGATTTAAAACATCATTTGAATCTAAAATCTAATTTAATAATTTTAATAATTTTTTTTTTCTATTTTCTTCATTAATACTTTTAATTGATTATAAATCTTTGTAGCCTTGTAGTCAATTAAAATTTTAAACAGGACAACTCATTAAATATATATAATTCATTAGTGGTATTTCGAGCCAAAACGAGCCGAACACGAAAGGACAAATATTTGTTCGTGTTGTTCGTGTTCGGCTCGTTAACTTAGCGAACGAGCCGAATACGAGCTTATTAACGAGCCGAACGCGAGTTATTCGCGAAGAACGAGCCGTTTTGACAGCCCTAGTTACTTGTGGGTTGAATTTTTAGTTGAATTAAATTCATTAGATCTTTATAATAAAACTATCAAACTATGTTGTTTTTTTTTTAATTCCTGCCGGTAAATTAGAAAATATAACTTATAATTTATCTCAATTCCTATGGTTCAATGTTCAAATATTTGCAATTTATGCAATACCTCAATTACCTGGGTGGTTAACTTACAAATATCAATGTTTTGAGTGTCCTGTATGTAATTATCCCCAATTAAACTTTCTATTTACAAATCAACCACCCTCTAATGTTATGGTTTGAGGTGAATTATGAATTAATCCATCTCCCATCAGAGCAGTTCATCAATGCTATAATGCTCTGGTTGTTTGTTTGGTCAGATTTGTCCCTCGGATTACTCTATCATTTATTAGGGTTAATTGCTTCATTAAAGAAAGCGGCAATCTTTAACGAATGGAAGATTTTTTAAGCTTTCAAAACGGAAAATATTTAATCATCCTTTTGTAAACATAAATAATAATTTTCTAATTTAGGGTTCGTTCGGAGGGAGCTTATGGCTCGCGTTTCGTTTTGAAAATGCAAGAAGAGGTTGTTTGGAAAATGAGTGCACTGCATTTTTAAATAATTCGTCGAAAATTTTTCTCATCGTAGTGAATCTTCTTTTGGGGTCACGACATACACTGCGGTCCTGCAGAGTAAAGAGTCGTTGTTCATAGCCAAATCATACGATACGGAGTAACAAAGTATTGTATAGAGTCAATACGTAAATTGTGGAGTAACAGTTCACCGTGTAGAGTCAATACGTAAATTGTGGTAATGGATCACTATGCAGAGTAACGACTAACATTTCGGAGTAGTGATGCACCCTATGGAGCAATGCATCATCCCGAACAACGAACCATGACACAAGTGCTCCAAAGTATTGAGCAATGAGTCCTTCTGCATACAAGTGTTGCACTTTTAGAAAATGTTTAACCCATTCTCGCATGTGGGACAAGGGCGTATGTGTACTTATCAATTTATAATGGATCGTTCTGACTAGGCTAGGCACTATGATTTTTTCTCTTTTTGGGTTTTCTACGTAAAAACTTTTGGTATCTCTGCCTATTATTTATATTATATGCGTGTTTGATGGGATTTTGTGCAACTCTAACTCTAAATAATCACTTTATCACCATAAATCCTCAAAATGCAATAGATTGGTGTTGTATGTGGGAAAAACAGTGCCACCACCAAAGGACATCCAAAATTTATTGAATGGACACCAGATGTAACACCCACAATAATGGAGCGTCCCACTCGCAATAATGGGGCATCCCACTCTAACAAACACAAATCAAGAGGGCAACCACATCCAAGGACATCAAGCCTTTTCCCATTTTCGCCTTGAATGATGTTATCATACCGATGAAGGTGCCTCAGATCCCTCTCTAAAAAATGAAGTGCGCAGGAATTTCAACTTGAGATCCTTTAGCTTTGACATGAGGTCTGACAGTCGTGCGCACATGGCCAGATAGAACTTACTTATCACTAGTTCAACAGCCGACAAGAAATGCCCTGCTTGATTCCACTCGTACCGGATACTCAAGCATAACATTATTTAAGATACTAAAAGGTGCTTGGGAATGCCGCCCTGTGTCGTTTCTTGGCTTGCTTTGGGAAAAGTACCTACTATCTTTTAAGATACTAAGAGATGGGAATGCCAATTTCTAGTGGATAGTTGAATGATAGGTTGATTTTGAGCAATTCGGGATGTATTTAGCCCATCTCACCACCTTTTGAAGTCTATCCAAGGAGAGTTGTTATATATCAATCTAGTTATTTCAACTCACTTTATAATCTCTATTCTTGTAAGGGAAGAAATTTTGATTCAATTGTCTATCTACTACATCAGTAATTCTCTCAGACACAAAGAGACTTACCTATTGGCGAACAAGAATGTGTTAGCTCTGGTATTCTTGACAAAAAGGCTATGTCTATACTTTCAGGCCCGTACCATTGGTGTCTATGTGCAACTCCCTCTAAGGGCCATTCAGTAAAGTTCTGAAACATTGGAAAGATTAATCAAATGGTCGATAGAATTGAGAGATTTTGACATTTACTACCTGCCCCCAAAAAAGCATCAAATCTTGAGTAATAATTGGCTTTGTGGTCAAGCGCACAGTACTTGCCTCTAACGAGCAGCCTCTCACCTCTGATGTCACCTCAGTGGACCCTATGTAGCATTCAAAATCTTTGAAGCTGGTTCTCAAATACTGCTCACCTCCCTAAAACATGACATATTTTAAGAGTATGAATTCTAGTTGAAATTTTTATCCTCTAATATCGTCGCCAAGTATGAAGCCCTTGTTGTTGGATTGAAATTCGTCATTAACTGTGAAGTGTGAAACTTGATCATCTGTGCTAATACATAGCTCTTTGCATTCTAAGTAGAAGGGGATTTTGATACTCATAACTTGCAGCTACTATAGTTTCTTTGCCTAATAATGGTAGTTCTCGCTCAGATCAGAAACATTAGATCATCCACATTCTTCGAAAGCAAAACACCTAAGCTAATGTCCTCTCCAAGCCTATGATCTTGACAATCGAAGACCATTTCAAAAGAAGGTACATCAAAAAGATATATTTTTCTAGTATAGAGGGTCCTTGGATGATACAGTCTATCAACGAGCAAAAAGAGACTTCTTGAATGGATTCTATCTTTTCCTTCCTTCAAGATAGAACATTTCTCGATGTTGTTTCACAACAAATAGAACACAACTTCGTCATCATTGGGGAAAAAATGTATAAGAAGGCATTTTTTTGTATGTGCCTTAAATGTCTTTCACTTTCCGAAGCTTAGGGTTTAGGGCCTAAACCCTTAACCCTAAACCTTAAACCCTTTGTGGCTAGTTACAACTACAACTTCCCAAAATGATCTCTATGACTAACTAACACTCTTACAACTATCAACTGCATCTTATATGGCCAGTTACTGTTGTATCTTCCCTCTACGCCCTTCATGGCCAACTAATGTTCTAGCTACTATTAATTATAGCTTATGTAGCCAGTTACTGATGTACTTCCTACTATGGCCTTTATGGCCGACTGATGTTAATGTAGCCACTAACTATGGCTTATGTGATTGATTATTATTGTTACAGCTTTCAACTACAATATTTGTCACCAATTATCATTATTGTAGCAACCGACTATAACCTTCATGATCTATTATATTTGTTATAGATCAATTATGATTATTATATTTGAACTACTATCGCCTTATTATAATATCAACATTGTAATTCTATCTTCTCTATTTATTGAGAATAGTTGGCCTATGTACTTAGAAACACATATTGGATTTTATTGACTGGTTAGGCTCAGTGGCTATTTTTGTTTTTAGGGTTTTTTCATGTAAAAATTTTGGTTTCTCTTTCTGCTAATTTTTTTATCATATATGTTTGTGATGGATCCTAATGCAGTGCTAATAAATTAAATTATCATTCTACTATCAGACTTTTTTCGACACATAATAATTTGGTGGTGTTTGTTGGAAACGAAGCCACTTTTATAGAAATCTACACTTCTTCAATGACTAACAAATATAATACACAAGCTTCTCACTATAATACTCACCATTCTAGAGCACAGTATTGAAATTTAGGATGTCAAGAATCTCCTTTGTTTCCCAATGATATACATCAACCATCTAACAAATGAACCTCTTTTGCACCCCAAGAAGTTCATGTACGAAGAATGGATGAGTCTTAAAATGAGATTCTCTGCCTTTTATGGAGGCTTGACAACAAATAGAAGGACATAATAGAGGGCACAATTACCTCAAAATCCATTAATTAAAGGTACACAGATAACATCCTCTCTGCTCAATGAAGTTCCTCCTCAAGAATCTGGCCTCTTGCACCCTACTAGCTCTACACATCTATTATATGTAGGCAAGCCTAGCAACAAACTTCCAACACATATGGATAATTTATCTTAATCTCATGTAATATGTAACGAGTTACCGCATTTAGTGTAAGAAAAGCTCCCTCAAAGGGATTGAAGTCATTTTTCTGCTCAAAAAAGTTCTCAAGAGTCATCTTTGTTGACTAAAAATGTCATTTTATACCTTATTCCAACAGTGCTCTAAGCTTACAAGATTACAAGCAGTGTTGGTTTAATACCACTGCCTGTATCAAGACATTGAAAACTAATTTGAAGTTGGGGGAGGGGGGG